TAGTAAGAGCAGATAGAATATATTTTTATTATTTTTTTCAAAAGGTTTTTATACTTTTCGAATTAAATTAGCTTTTTTTGCTAAACTTATTGTATATTGTTAAATAAATTTTTAACCCATAAAACTTTGATTGTTTAATCTAATGTTATTTTGATTGTTTAATCTAATGAATGTTTAATAGAACATCACTAATTATCTGTATTTTAGCCATTATTCGTAGTGTGGTGAAGTTATTAAAATGTTATTCACAACAATAATACTAATATTTTGTTTTTCAAAAGGCTTTTATACTTTGTGAATTAAATTAGTTTTTTTGCTAAACTTATTGTATATTGTTAAATAAATTGTTTTTAACTCATAAAACTTTGTTTGTTTAATGGTATGTCATTTTGTATTTAACCCATTATACAAAAAGTAATTAAAATTTTATTCCACTTAACTGTCTTTTTTTTCTTTACAGAATTGTGTGTTAAAAATTATATAAACATCTAAATGTTTGTTTAGTTAACAAGTGTTTAAAAAATACTTAAAACATATTGACTTAACCTAAAATTATAACAGACTTACCAAGTAGGTATCTAAAGAATTATAAACATAAAACACTAAAAAAATACTGTTTTTTCCACTATTACATTCTAAAGCAACAGACACAACCATTTTTTAATTCCACAATATATTTAAACAAAGCGAGAACACATTTACAAAAATACAAATGAAGCTAATGCCGAAAAAGTAAATTATTTTTAAATAATACAGGTAGCGCCATCTTTCTGAATGATCACAAACATAATAACTTTGAATACAGTTTACAAAATAAATTCTTCTAAAGTGTTGAAATTAATGGATAGATGTCGCTATTGGTACTAAGTTATAACACTAAACAAAATACTGATTTTTTTACTATTACATTCTAAACCAACAGACACAACCATTTTTTAATTTCACAATATATTTAAACAAAGCAAGAACACATTTGTAAAAATACAAATAAAGCTAATGTCGAAAAAGTAAATTATTTCTAAATAATACAGGTAGCGCCATCTTTCTGAATGATCACAAACCTAATAACTTGAATACAGTTTACAAAATTAATTCTTCTAAAGTGTTGAAATTAATGGATAGATGTCGCTATTGGTACCATTTTCAAAGTATTATTTGATATAATGATATAAATATAGATTGCACAAAGATTTATACATCGAGAGGGTGTTTTGTGGTGTGTTATTGAAAATTTGTTAAAGACATCACCAAAAATACAAAAACTTTAGTGTTGAAAAGATAGATGCCATTCTAGGTATCATTCATTAAAATTACAATACAATTTTTGTTATTAAGGTTTACAGAGCTCAAAATATAGGTGTTTTATTTGACTTATGACTCTTTATTGTGACACTTAAAATTAAGGGATATTAATTATATTTCAAACTACAATAAAAAGTCTATTTTAAATATTTATTTACATAAAATACAATGTGTGGTCAATAGACAATAGATAAATAATCTATCACCACAAGCTGTACAATGAAAAATATAATTTATAAGTTTTTAAACATCAGCCGAAAAGTGTTCTGAGTGATGGTGGGGTGAAAGGTTCTCTTCAAAGTGTCTCATTACTTCATAAAAACAATGATTACATAATTTTGATCCTACTACACCATAGTAGTTTTGAGTAGCACATAATGTTTCTTCAAATTGATAGTTCGTCTACTTCACATTATTTATAACACTAACGTTATTTACCTTAATGTCGATGTCCAAGGAATCTTGTTCAATAAAATCAACATCTTCCAAATCTGAATCATTTTCAGGCGATGAATTGAAATCTGATACAGAACCCAAATCGGAAACAATAGAATCATCATCACTGTCCATTTTCACTCTTAATATTAACAAATTATTTAATTCCTATATTATCCAAAACTTCTCCCCCTCTTACAAATATCCAGCTTTACTCCAATACTGAAAATACCGTTATTACCAGTTTAACCGGTTTAACTGGATCTTAAGTTAATGACTTTCAGACACATGACTAGATAGAAACAATTATTAGTAGGACTTAAATCTGGTGAATATAGTGGCTTTTCTCTAACTCTTTACTGGAAAGTCACAGAAAGTTGTGTGCAGTATCAAATTAAGTGAAATTAACTACACAACAAATTACAATAAAAAAGTTTTTTAAAATTTGTTTTAAATATTTAATTAATTACATAAAATACAATGTGTGGTCAAATAATAGGTAAATAATCTATCACCACAAGCTGTACAGTGAAAAAGATAATCAAAAATGTTATACACATCTGCTGACAAGTGTTCTGAGTGATGGTGGGGTGAGACGTTCTCCTCAACATATCTGAATGAATTGAAAAAGCAATGGCTCCATAGTTTCAATATCGCATCACTGTAGTAATGTTGGGTAGCACACAAAGTTTCTTTGAATTGATAGTTCATCCACTTCACAGTATTTATAACACTTACATTATTTACCTTAAAGTCGATGTCCAAGGAATCAAGTTCAATAAAATCAACATCTTCTAAATCTGAATCATTTTCAGACGATGAATGGAATCTGATACTGGATTTAAATCGAAGACAAAACTTTCCTCATCTGATGGTAGTTCATCATTACCATTATTATCCATAACGAAATCAGAAACAGTAGAATTATCATCTGAATGATTGACCCAACCATCCATAACAAAATCGAGGATAATATGTTCATCACCCATCTTGGCATCATTCAAAATTAAATCGGAGACTGCATGATTGTCATCACCGTCCATTTTCACTCATAATATTAGCAAATTATTTTATTCTTATATAATCCAAAACTTCTCCCACTTTAACAGTAAACCTATTTTACATAGTTACCATTACCACACCTAAACCGGTTTGACTAGATTTTCAGTTAATAACCTTAAGACGCATATCTAGACAGAACAACCAGTTTATTGACCATATATCTAAACTAGTTGGACTGGAAATCCAGTCAAACCGGTTTAACAGAATTCCTAGATTAACTAGGTCATTAAGACCTTCAGACATGTGTCTAGACAGAAAAAACCGGTTTGAAAGACTATTAATGACCCCTGTTAACATTAAGATACACGTCTAGACATGTTTAACCGCTTCTGATGACTATTTATGAATCAGGTTCCACCATTACTATTAAAGCAGTCAGTTTTCTGTGAGTTCTTCAGTTTTTCTTTATATTGTGAGTAAGCAACATGCAGTGTACAAAGTGTGGTAAACTATTTTCAAACTCATATACTCTAAAGAGGCATTTACTTGAATTTTGTGCAAACCGTGAAACGGTGTGTTCAATTCAAAAAAGAGACTAAAACTAATAGGAATTGAAGATATGGATAGTAGTGTAACCAAACTTCCACATGCTTTTAGAAGTCGTATTGCTTAATACAGATTCGCTAACATTAGTGAAAACAAAATCAGTTACAATTCGTTTTTTAATGATATTAAACAAAAAGTTTTAAAAAAAATCAGTGAATATTTACAACTTCATACAAACTTGAAAGTAAATATAAAAGTGTTTGGAATCTACGTGAAGCCAGATAAAGAACTAACTGATATTAAGTCCATGAATTCTGCAAACAAAATTATAACACCTACAACCGACCTTGAAGAAATTTTTGATGAATTTAAATCAGAACTTTTAACCCAGGCTTCGGAGTTTACAGAAAAAGAGTCCAATTGGAGCTTACAGGAAATAATGTTTTTAGATGTAAACATAAATTGCTTCAACAGTATAACAACTTCTTCATATATTAAATTACCTATATTAATAATAAAAAAAATGCTGTCTTGAATATTGAAAACCAAGATAATGCTTGTTTCGCCTGGTGTATCAATGCAGCCATTTTTCCATCAGAAGGTGATCCCAAGAATCCCTCATCGTATCCACATTATGACACCTTGTTGAATTTTGAAGGTACTGATTTTCCAGTAATGTTGAAAGACATAAGAAAATTTGAAAATATGAATAACATTTCAGTAAATGTATTTGGGTTGGAATCTTATTACAAAAAATGCAAAAATAATTATGAAATCGTAAGACCACTACATTTTACTTCCAAGCGTCTACCCACACATATAAACCTATTACTAATAACAGATAATGAAAAAAGTCATTATTGTTTGATTACTGACTTGTCACGACTTGTTAGAATTCAAAAAGCAAAACACACTGAAAAAATACATATATGTGATGGTTTTTTACAGTCTTTACGACAATAGAAAAGTTAAAAGCCCATGAAGAACATGATTGTACACATATATATACTGAACTACCAACAAAGAAAATGAAAAAAAAATAAATGCGGTCAATTCATTCCGGAAAATATTTTAAAATTTGTAAATTTTGAAAAACAACTACAAGTGCCCTTTGTGATTTATGCGGACTTTGAATCATTGTCAAAACCAATAGACAATTGCGAGCCTCACAATTTAAAATCATTTAGTGTAAAGGAATGTGAACATGTACCATATTCGTTTGCATTTTATTTAAAATGTAATTACGACGATAACTTATCCAAACTTGAGATGTACAGAGGACCAGATGCAGCCAAACTGTTTATTCAAAAACTTAATGTGGTGGTTTATAACCTATACAATAACCATTTAAAACATGTAAAGCCTATGCAACCACTTACCCCTGAATAACAGGAAGCATATGATAATGCCACTATCTGTCACATCTCTGAAAGACCTTTTGACGCTTTTAACAAAAAAGTTCGAGATCATGACCATTGTCTTGGGAAATTTCGTTCGGCTTCGCATAATTCATGCAATTTGAATTATAAACTACCTAAATTTATACCAGTGTTTTTTTATAATCTTACAAACTATGATAGACATTTGTTTATCAAGGAGTTGACAACTAAAAAAGAATCTGTATCAGCATTGGCCAAAACTAAGGAAAAATACATTTCCTTTCCAAATCTATTTTAGTTGAAAAATCCAAAGACCCCAAAGTTCCCGATTTATTAATGAAACTTAGATTTGTAGACTCTTTTCGATTTTTGTCAAGACCACTTGATAAACTAAGTGAAACTTTGGATTCTAGTCAATGTATTGAAGTTAAAAAATATTTCCACAATGAAAAAGAGTTTAATTTAATGAGGCGTAAAGGTGTTTTTCCATATTCTTATGTGAGCAGCTTTGAAAAATTGGACGAGGAAGGATTACCTTCGAAAGAGAAATTTTTTGATAATTTAAGAGGTGAACCAATCTCCGATGAAGACTATGAAAAAGCTAAAGAAATATGGAACACTTTTAATTGTAAAACACTTAACGATTATGCGATGCTCTACTTAAAGACTGATGTGCTTCTGTTAGCTGATGTATTTGAAAAGTTTGTTTAAAACACTATAAACTTGATCCAGCCCACTACTTGACAGCACCTTCCTTAAGTTGGGATGCGATGTTAAAAATATACCAAAAAAAGTTAGAATTATTAACAGACATTGATATGTTACACTTTTTAAAAAAAGGTGTCAGAGGAGGAGTTGCGCAGTGTAGTAAAAGAAAAACAGTAGCTAACAATAAATTTTTACCTTATTTTGACATTTCAAAGCCAAAAAGTGATATTATGTATTTGGACGCGACCAATTTATATGGCGCTGCAATGAGTCAATATCTTCCTTTTGGTGACTTTAAGTGGATACCTGAGGATAACTTTGATTGTACTTTGGTAAAAGACGATGCTTTTAAAGGATATGTGTTGGAAGTAGATTTGGAGTATCCACACAATCTTCACCACACTCACAACGATCTTCCGTTTTGCCCTGAAAATATAATACCACCAACAGGTAAACACCCAAAATTAATTCCAAATTTAAATAATAAAGAAAAGTATATTATCCACTACCGGGACTTAAAACAGTGTCTTAAATATGGGCTATTAAGGAAAATTCATTTTTGGAATTTTCCTAATTACCTTGGTTAAAAAAATATATTGATTTAAACACGCTCCTTCGAAATCAAGCAATGGATGACTTTGAAAAAGATCTTTTACAGCTGCTGGTCAATGCCATTTTCGGAAAAGCTTTATAAAATATTGATAAACGAAAAGCTATACATCTAATATCCCACTGGGACAAACAGGGAGTTTCATAGGTGCAAGATCATTAATAGCAGAACCACAATTTAAAGCTTGTTCTGTCTTTATTGAAAATTTAGTTGCTATCTATTTAGCAAATGTAAAAATGAATAAAGATAATCCCTTGTATATAGAATTTTTTTTATGGTTAATAAAACAAAAGTATTATGACTCTGCAAAGTTGTGTTATACCGACAAAAGGTATGTCATACCACATTATGTCAATACTCTAGCGTGGGGGCATTTTCTCACCAATCCAAAAGCGATGACTGGTACATTGGATGATTTAAGACAAACAATAGATGATCTCATTAATTTAGATAATTTTGTTTTACAATAAAAATTTATATTATTTACTAATGTTTTTTATTTTTTCACATAATTTTATTACAGATTACGAAGGGCTAAATTGCACAAAGTACAATCATTTTGGCTACCAACTGCCCCGTCTACGTGATTTTGCCAGTTAGGCCTATTAAAATGTATGAAGCAGGGTAGCCTTGTTTGAAGGTTGAAATCTTGAGTGTATTCTGTAGGTAATTTATGCCATGCATAAAGAAGTTCTGATGGTCTAGCTTTATCCAGCAAGTGTTTTAATGGGAAATATTCTTCTTCCGTAAAGTTGTACAAACTTTTACCTTTTAGATGTTCATCTACTAATTTCATCTTCATACAACACTTTTCCATATCTTTAGAGTATATTTTATTATCAATTCTATTACAAGTACTATCACAAGCAATGTAGTTATTATTACTAACGTGTTATCAATGTAATCACTTTCTTTTATATAGTAAGTATAGAGTTGATTCCAGTTGGTACTTTCAACTTTATTATTCGTCTATTCAAGTCTTAACTTGTATTGTGTACTGTTATTGGGGATAAGAGATGTGAGTGTAGAAATATTATTGGCTTTGTAAAGTTCCATTTGTTTCCAGTTTGTATCGTTATCATTGAAGCAAATGAAAACATCCTTAGCTCCGTACGGATAATGAATAAAAAGTGAACCATTAAAAATGACTTGTAAAATTATAAAGTGTGAAGGCAACATCTTAAAGTAAACTAACATTTATTTTTTGATTACATTGTATATATATAATGCCTATGTTGGTAAATCTCTGTAGGAAAAGAAGACACTGGTAAATAAAAATCAAAAAATGGATTTTATTTTTTATTAAATCTGTTTAAATTAGAAAATACGTTATCCCATTTTTCATGTTATCCCATTTTTCATATTCTTCAATATTCAATACTTCAATACTCTCTTTTGAAAACTCCTCATCAAATTTTAATTGTTTTCTAACTTTGTCCAATAATAAAGGTTGGATTTTTCTTCTTTTGTGGGAATCATCATCTTGCATTTTTGTTGGATAAATTAATATTCTATACATGATTGTGGTTGACAAACACTTTGTTCTCTTCTACACCTAATACAATGTAATACTTCTTCACTGTAAAATCTTCTTAAAAACTGATGTTTAAAATAACAATAGTTACAATTATAAATATATATAATTCTTGCAGGTTTAAAAGGTGTGTTGGACTCCATTTACAACACTTTACTTTCTACTCAGACTCACTGCTGGAAATATTAACTTTATCTTCAATATATACACAATTTCCCCACTTTATATGCAATGGTCGGTGTCTACAGAAGCGGTTAAACAGGTATAGACGTGTATCTTAAGGTTATCAGAGGTCATTCTAAACAAGTTTTCTGTGAATGTCATTAAACCAATAACGATTTTTTCTTTCAAAGTTTTATATATTGTTATAATGACTAGTAGTAATAAAAACGTATAAAAATATGCATCTATAATGAATAGTAAAAGAAATAACGCTAAAATAATTCGAAAAAACAAATATTTTTCTTCACTTGTTCTTTTTGTAGACTCGATCATTTTACCATAACTAAAATTAGGACTAAACTTTAAATGATCATGAATCGGTACATCGCCAGGCTTCCATTTGTTAATTTGAATAACGCATTCAAAACATCTAACAACATCTTCTTTACCAATGTAGTGAAATCCAGCCAGTGCCAAGTCTATTGGGGATACATCCAGTCCAATTCTCAAATGACTTTAGTCTGTGATCAAACGATTCCAATAGGTGTGAGTAATCGTCAGAGTGCATTGTTACTTTGTAGAACAAGTCTATTGTACTTGCTTTAAAAACATTTTAAAACTGGTGGGGGTTAGATAAAACATTTTAACGTTTTTTAATTTTATTGCATTATAAAATTACTGTATAAAAAAAAACATTTGATATGGCACAAACGCCATTATTTTTAGTATGATAGAAACATTTGGATTCCATTGGTTGAAGTGCTGGTTGTTCATCAAACTCGTAAACTGGTACTTGGGAATATTTTTTTATGTAATTTGCTTTTTCCATTCCCTTAACATAAATCAAATCAGTTTTTTCTGATAAAAATTTTAGGATATTACCAAATTGATGTACTGAAGTGGAGCCAACGTTCCAATCAATATATTGGTAATTATTCAATAAACAGATTGCTTGACGGTGCAGATTAGGAGAGAGGAAGTGATGGTTTTGAACACATAATGACATATGCGAATACCATCGAAAGCAGCAAATTCTTTTACCAGAAATTTATTGTTTTCCAATTTAAATCCTTGTACATCCACAACAAATTGTCTCGTAGCTTTAATTTTTGAAATTTTTTGATAATATTTTGCATTTGCATGTAGAATTCAATATCTTGTTGAAGTTTCCTTAAATCACGCAATTGACTATCAAGTCTTTGTTCAAGAGTCATATTAAATGAATTAAATATTCGTGACGGGGTTTTATAGCTATATTTGCACATGCGTATTATTGCTGTTTAACAATCTTGGTTGTAGGATTATATGAAAATTGTTTTTCATGAAGAATAAGACAATATGCTGAAAAATCTGCCGATGTTGGTTCATTCGTTTCAAATTCAATTCTTAATACAATACTACCCGCCTGTAAAACTTCTTTTTGTCTTGAACAGTCAATATGAATTAATGAAGCATTATTTTTAAAATCGACTGGGTTATATATTGGCTGATTCAGATGAAGGTCGTAATAACTTTATTGAAAATTTGCAAACATTTCGTACAAAGTAGCAAATTTATTATTATCAAAATACAACTTTAAATCATTATATGGATATCTTTCCGAATTTAAAAATACTCTGATATTGTTAAGTTTACAATGATCGAACTTACTCATGTCGCTTAATATTTGACTTTTTCTATTTTGTTGAAAACCAATAATTACATGCCTCGGTGTCTCTACCTTTGAACTTGCTTTTACTACCCATGAATTTAATTTTGAAGAACTTAGGGATGTATATTGTATCATTAGCCAAGATCGAAATTTAATTGGTAATTCTTTATTGCTTTTACTAATATTAGTTAGTCGAAGTTGTTGACTTAAGCTAGGTTTTATGTGTGGTACTGACGATTTAATTCAATTTTTGGATTTTCAGTTGTATCGGGACTTATTACACTATCGATGTCATCACTTGATCAAATCAATACTAGTTCTTGTTTCATATTTAATATTATTTTTTTATAGTCTTCAAAAAAAACCTGATAACATATTCAATGGTATGCAAACATTAAAGTTCCCATTTTTAACTACTAATATTTTTTTAGTTTTTACAGTCATAACACCTTTAGAATCTGTCGCAATTGTTTTTGTTTCTTTAGGATACCACCCAGCATTTTGCATTAGTACACTTTCGTTTTCATTAAGACTTAAATAATTTTTTATTGTTGAAGTTAAACCCAGGTCTCTTACGGAATCTATTACGACTCCATTTAATTCATAACGTAGCTCACGAAATAAAAATGCTATTGCGTTGTTAATAAATTTTAGTTTAGTTGGTACATTTCCTGCATCAGTCAATAACTTTCCTTCAATATATAAAAAACTTTGTCATGGTAGTGTATAAGAATCAAGAATAAATGGTTGATAATTATGAAATTGACATTCTTCAATACTGGTGTCATTCATATATTGACCTGTTACAATAAGAATATCCATTATATTAGTTGTTTTCTGATTTGGTAATCTTATATAGTTTTTATATGGGTGGGAAAATTTTAAAACCATTATACTTTTCTAATATGAAGAGTAACCGTAATCTCTTCTTCTCGAAAATTTATTAGATCTCCAGTTTGATTAATAATTTTAACAGTAAGGTTGTTGATCGTCTTGACGCTTACGGGATAATATAAAATATTTTGAGGTAACTCCACTATTTTATA